ACGTGCACGTCGGCAGAAGAAGGTCGACCTTTATTATTTATTTTTCTGGAACGGCTGGGGTTTTTAGCATTGTGGGGGGATGGACTGGGAAACAGTCTCTGCTTTCAGTTCACGAAGAAAAGTTAAACAAATCAGAGGCATTGGTCAATTGAAATGGACTCTGCGGCAACATTGATGGGTCTATGATGATGACAACTCATTTGATTTTCATTATTCAAATCATTTAGCATTAATAAAAATTTAATTCTATAAAAATAATAATTACACTTCTTTTTAAGTGTTTGTATTTAGGGGTGTGCAAAATTACCCGACCCGTCAACTCGAATCTAAAAAAATCGAGTAATTCTCTAAAAAAAAATTACTCGGCCGGGTCGGGTACCCGGCCCGACATTTCCCAGGTCAGGCCCGGTTCACAAAATCTAGTTTTTTCGGGTACCCAGTTACCCGAGTACCCGGTTAGTTTTATTATTTTTATTTTTTATATATAATTATATAAAATATAATGAATTATTTATATTATGGATTATTATTTTGTATTTTGAACTTTTAAATTTTATGTTCGGATATTAGAGTATGTAATTTGAAGTTTCGAACATTTAAATTTGGTATATATTTTTTTAAATTAATAATTTGAAAATAAAAAATTAAAAATCGGGTATCCGTAAAAATTAATAATTTTAAATTTGTGTAATTTGAACATTTAAATTAATAATTTGAAATAAAAAATTAAAAATTAATAATTTGAAGTTTCGATTACCGGGTACCCGTAACATCCGGATCGAAAACACGGGCCGAGAAATCATCGACCCGGATTAACACACCCTATTTGTAATCACAGGCAAAACATACAAAAGGAATAATTATGTCTCGTTAAAAATATTTAAACCTAAGAAGAAAAAGAGTACACGTAATAACACCGATGTAAGAGGAAAAATTAAGAGATGATTTGTTTATTTTAGAATGATTAGACATTGAATGATTCAAATGTTGAATAATTCAGAGACTTTGTATAAATTAGCTCTGAATGTGACATACTGTTTAATAATGACTCTGAATGATTCAGAATGTACTTTGATGTTGAATCATTCAATATTATTTTGTTAAATCAATCGGTACTGAATCATTCAGAGATGAGAAACAAATACGTTGAATGTTGAACAGTTCAACGTTAAGTGCCAAACAAACAGTCCCTAATAAACAAAAGATGCCAACTCATTCCAACCCCAAAGCAGGTAAGCAAGCCCCACTGATGAGGCTCGACAGTGTCATCTTGAAGCAAAGGTATTAACTCGGTAGGAGAACCAACAAAAATGATACGGTTCAACTGTTAAGCTTAGCATTCTTGGTTAAAGCATCGGCGATCTTGTTACCATCACGACGAAGATGTTGAGTTTTAATAGTTGATTGGGGTCGACGGAGATTTAAGAAATATTCATTGAAATGATGATAACCATTGTAGTCGTTCCGAAGGATACGAAGAGTTTCTAAACTGTCAACTTCAAGAATAGCTTGTCGAAAACCAGCACTCCAGGCCAGATCGAGACCAACGACACACCCCAGAGCTCAGCTATGATCACAAAATATGCACCAATGAACTTGCTGAACCCAAACTTCCAAGTAGCCGATGAGTGAGTAACTCCGTCACATGATGCTAACCATCCGACTCACGATGCAAAGGGCTACTTTCAGCAATGCGGTTCGACTGCATTTTCAGCCGGTCTTCCTCCAATGCTCGAAGGGTAATATCTACCAGGCGTTTACTATGGTCGATCACACTACCACCGTTATCTATGGGAGTTTCAAACACTTTAAAGTTTCGAGCAATCCATAAGTTCCAAAGAATAGCGTCAAAGCAAAGGTCTCAGTCATTATGATCCATAACAAAATAGGAGGGATTCGTTAGATTGTCCGACATCCAATCAATTAAATTGAAAGATAAAAAAATCTGATAATATGTCACCTTTTTTTGGGAACAATGAAGCGCTGTCAAAACAAAGTGAGAATGTCAAGCCTCAGCCTGCTCTGTCCAGTTGAGTATTTCTAACTTCAAGAGGAGGGCTGTGAAATATCTGATTCCCAGCCTATCGTTCGTATCCAATGAGCTAAAACGTCGGCTGCTTCATTTGCTTCGCGTCTAACATAGGATAGTTTCACCTTCCATGGTATTGAAGAAGTTTCCGAATCCTTTGGATAATCAAGACTTCATTCATATGTGGACTGGCGTTAAGAGTTTCCACAACCTCTTTGTTATCAAGTTCAACTTCAACGTCTTTGAAACCGCTATTCCACGCAAAGTGCAGACCATCATAAAGGCCCCATAACTCAGCTTGAAAGGCTGAGCATAGGCCAATATTGCGATGAAACCTCCTAGCCAATTTCCGATACTGTCCATGAGTAGTCTTCCAGCAGTGGCTTCGGTGGTTCTCGAATTGGAGGCTCCATCAGTATTTAATTTGCGTTCCAGCATTTGGAGGTCTCCGCTTTTGCCACAGAGGTTGTTTGATCCCTTCTCATTGTTTATCGTCATGGTTGCTTTTAATAATTTCCGTGAGGTTTGCATTATTTCCATCGACGACCAGACCTACCCATTGAAAACAAATTGTTACGTTGCTTCCACAAATGCCATAGAATTATTCCAATATATGTCTCCATAGTAGGCTCTTGGTCCAATCCTGTAGAGGTATATAGATGTTAGTTTGAATCTAATTATCTAAGCAAACAAAGGTAAATGATAGGAATTAGTAAGATTATGAATCGGAACTAATTTCTCCCAAACCATTTTAGCTGTCGGACAATCCCGGAGAACATGATAATTGTTTCTTCGCCCCCTTGACAAATCGAAACTGCAGTCAGACCACGTCTAGCTCTTTCCGAGTTGGTCATTAGCCGGTTACTGAGAATGAGCCAAAGGAATTGTCGCACCCTTTGCGGACCATCAAAATCCCAAGCTAATTCGAGCACTTGTCCTCCATATCCCAATTTACTCTGCATCTCATGAAAAGCTGAGCTGACCGAACAAAAACCTTCATGATTCCATCTCCAAGCAGGTTGGTCCTCCAAATCATCTATAGGGGCGGGTGTGCAGTAATATATTTCACAATATTATCATCAAACAAAGGTCGTAATTTATTAAGGTTCCAATCTCCATTTCCTCCAGAAAGTCACGCACAACAGCATTCAAATCAATAGCATTTTGGTCAATGGTAACATGAGCCAAGGAATAATATCCGGGAGCCAAGTCACCTTCCTCCCATTACCAATATTCCAGCAAACGTTGTTACGGATAAACTCCCGGACCCGAACAAGGGAACGTCAAATGAAAAAGCAATTTTTAGCTTCAATGGTCTTGGGGAGAACTTCGTTGATTTTATACTTAGAGCGAATGACTTTAACGCATAACACCTCAGGCCGCATCAAAAGATGATATCCCAATTTCATTAGGAACGCCTCGTTTGGGAATGAAGTGACCGCAATCCAAGGCCACCATGGTTAATAGGTTGACAACAGGTCTTCCAATTAACAAGAGTCATCCTATGTTTTTCTTTCAAGCCACCCCATGTAAAACGTTGAGCGGTTTTCTCGATTTGGTCGCAGACGCCTTTCGGAATAGCCACAGTTTGCATAAAATATTTGGAATAGCCATATAGTAGCCTGTGCAAGAGTCACACATCCAGTAAGGGCAAGCTCTAGTATGAAACAACAGCATGACCAGATAATTACCCAGGTTTGTGGATCGTTGAAAACTCAAGGAAGAACAAATTTTATCTGCAAGTCATCTCAACATTGGAAGAAAGAACACCTTAGTTCGTTTGAATTTACCTTGTGCCCAGAAAATCTGCTGAATTGATCGAGGATAGCTCTAACCAGATTAACTTGTTATCCGTCACTGGCTTAGAAAAATCAGGTCGTCAGCAAAAAAAAAAACATTTTTCTAAATAAATTTAGATTTTTTTATTAAATCACGTTGCATGTGAAAAAAATATTTCATGTTATTTTTTTGAAAAATTATCAGATAATGATTATATATTGACCGGTATAATGCTTGATTACATGTGAAATGATTTACTTTTTTGGAGGTTCAATAATAAAAAATATATAATTTTCGATTTAAATTCAAATAATTACGTCTATAAGATGTGCATATATTTTTAATAAACTAGAAGTATTATTTTTTTTTTAAAAAGAGAGTTCTATATGATTAAAATAACGATACGTAATTCGCTAAAAACTTTCCTAAACCTAGCTGGGGAAAAAGTGCGTCAAATTGATATCGATACTATAACAAAATATTCACAACAAGATTCTCAACTGCGAAACTCGCCATGCAAAACTGATTCACCAGAGAGGAAAAGGGCCTGCAATGAACCATGACCCCCCGAAAGCGGCCACTGCCCATTCATTTTTTTCAGAATTAGACACTATACTCACTCAACTATATCACCAGATTTTAACCACAACCTCCCTATACCCGTCAGTCCGTCACCGCAAACGTGGTTTCCAGATAAGGCATCCGCTATCACTCAGCAGACCCCCTTCGCAGTCTACTATCTCGTCTCAATTGGGCAAAAAGAACAGGGTCTAAGCACTCTGCTGGGGAGCAGCTTGCTATCTGTGCACTCTGCAGTTCTATATCATCAACATAACCGAACCACAGGCCACGTTAGAGCCCCCACACGATTCGACTGGAATTTAGATTATAAACAGATCCTACTAAACACATCACTGTTAAAAAGCTATTATCTAAAACAAAATTTAAATCAAACAAAAAATATTACGATTCGACTGGATTTTAGATTTTCTCAAAAAAAAATTACTAGTGATCATTGACATTTAACTATTATTTTTAAATAAAATTTTAAAAAAATCGAACAAAAACATTATGGTTCGAATGGAATTTATGTTTGTATTAAAAAGATTTGAACATATGAATATATTCGTGTTTTAATTTCTGTCATGTTTTGTGTTTCGTGTATCATATATATCTAATATCGTCAATCCACTAAACACGAATAAACCCCCCAGCACTCCAGCAGTATTACGTTGTACACCACCACAACTGAAAATATCTTCACATATAACAGACTCATAGTACAATTGTTTCCCTCAAGTTTCTGAGGGTTTTTAAGACAGCAATTAAGGAGTGATTCAAACGTTTAAATATCCAAGCCTCACTTACCATTACCGCCGAACAGGTAATCCAGGGAGGATCCGCCGCCCGGAGCAGCATGAACCTTCGTCGTAGGCCGATCCTGTTCGCATAAATTTATCAAAGCAGTCAAAACACAAGGATGTATGAAATGCGTGAATTGGCAAAAACATATGTGCAATAGAGCTGAGGACAAAAGATTCAATCAGGGGTTCATCATAAGGAATTATGTTACTTTGACTCGAGTCGGGACAAAATCAGGAAATTTTACGGGTGCCGAATATAAAGAGTAACAAAATGTGGTGTCAAGTTTTAATTATTAAGACATCAATTTTTTAAAAATTAGGGGTCAGAGTCTAATTTTGAAATTTGCAAAGACCTTAGAAGTATTTAACAAAAAATGAAGGGAAAGATATTTCGCCAATTTTCAAACTCAACAGGGAATTAAAAGTTTTTAAACAGAAAAATGAGGTCAAGACTTAATTTACCCAGTTTCAGAACTACCAAGGACCAAGAAAATATCTGAACCCAAAAAAGATTTAGGGTCGAAGTTTAATTTGTATACTTCAAACTAACAGGGACCTAAGATGTATTTTTGTCCCAAAAAATTTTAGGAGGAGCCAAATGTTATGTTGGGCATGAGTATTTAGATATTTAAATGAAGAATCAAAGTAATATGACATGCAAAGGTTTCACTTAATATGACATGCAAAGGTTTCACTTGATCATCAGAAAGCTTAATTTTCTATTACAAGAGTATTATGTAAGATCAATAGCATACATTTGAGCAAACGGTACTAAACTACCATTCAAAGAAAATTGTTGCTAGGGTCTTACCGTTAGGAAGTTGCCACAATTCTGGCCATCAGCACGGAAATAGTTGTTCGTAATAGTAGTGTTCCCGGGAATGCCGGCAGGGATCTCCTTAGCAACACCAGGAGGCGGTGAAGGTGAAGCAGTAGTGGACTTTTGTGGGGTTTCCTTAGCAACTCATTCTGCATCCTTGGAACTTCACTGCTGGTGGAAGAGCTAGTGCCATTCGTGGTTGCAGCCGGTTTCGGAGCTTCTCCACTCCCGAATAGGTAGCCTAAAGAGCTCTGTCCACCACCACTGCTAACTCCACGACCCATGATCTCTAGCTTCAACTTCTACACAAGTAGCTAATGAAGGAAATCACATGTTCTAAACAGTGAGTTCTATAGATATAAACACAAAAAGTTATCCTCAATACGTATATTACTTGAATTTAGAAGAATCACTCAAAGGTATGTTCTGGCATGATCATTTCTATGTACTAAATACATACATCAGACAAATACTTTGGGAAAATGAAAAATCGGAGTAGCATAGATCCACCAACACAATTGAAGCAAAATTTTCGGAAATTGACACCAAAAATTGAAAAAAACGGCATAGATTAAGTTTTTATTTACATTTAAGTTGAATTTAAAGTTTATTCCATGAGTTTTTAGTTTTAGTATATGAATTATGATTTTGTGCATTGTTTACATGAGATTTTAGTTTCAGTATAACTTCCACAAAACACTAGCATCTTATATGTTGAATTACCAGTGATCTTATATTTAAATTATACATTTTCTACTATTATGGATAGATTTTACATTTGATGTTCAGCAATGCACTAAAATTTCACTGCTTTAAGCTATGAAACCTGAAAAAGTGGGAAAATACAATTTAATTACGAATACATTTTTCTTCTAACAATCAAGCAAATCCTACGCGCGAGATGCGAAATATTATCTCACGCAGTCTTCAATTTTGATCGTAACAGGCAAATCGTGAAAAGAAAGGATCTAAGCAACAAAGCTGAAAATAGATCAATGAAACTCAAAAACATGAAAAGAAACTTCACATGCAGAGCATTTATATGGAGAAAAAGCAAACAGAATTCGAACGAACAACTCAAAATTTGTACTCAAAGTTAGAGCTGAAACGACAAAAACAGCATGATAAGGAGGGAAAAAAGATTTTCTCGGTAAACAAACAGAAAATAAATGAAAAGCGATATAATTTTTGAGTGAGCTTTCTTACCTTGTCCGGGTTCTTCTTCGGATCAGATCTGGAAAAGAGGGATAAAGACGGACTTGAAGCTTTAAATTATAGACGGGTCCAATTTCCATTTTTGGATTCTTTTATTTTTTGGGTAAACAATAACAATAGTCCGCAAACTTTAGGAATATTGCATTTTGGTCACCAAACTTTTAAAACTTGTAATAAAATCATCAAACTTTTAGTTGTTTTCATTTTGGTCCTTACCATTACCTCCCGTTAATTTTTGTTGATGTGGCACTTAACGCCATTAACTTTCTGATGTGGCTTCTTCTTCTCTCTTTCTACTTTTTGGTTTTCTTCTTCTTCTTTCTTCTTCTTCTTCAAAGCAATCATCCTCGAGACCTTCGTGTTCGTCTCTTGGCATTGGGTCCATCAACTGCATCATGGCTTCTTCTCGGAGCTTGTTGAAGAGCTTCTCAAAACTCACGCTGATTCTCTTGGCATTGGGTCCATCAACTGCATCATGGTTCTTCTTCTCGGAGCTTGTTGAAGAGCTTCTCAAAACTCACGCTGATAATAATTCAAGGATTGTGGATGTTAAAGGCCACCATTATCAACTATTGCCTTTCGGTACAGGGAGGAGGAGCTGTGTTGGTATGTCTTTAGCCATGCAGGAGCTGTCTGTTGATCTGGCAGGCATGATTCATTGCTTTGACTGGAAGGTGACGGAGACGCCGAGTACTGGTGGTGTCGACATGACTGAACGACTCAGACTTGTAGTACCGAGGGCTAAAGATCTCAAGTGTTTCTGGGTTCCAAGGAGGTAGTTCAGCAAGTTCTTCAAGGGCGCACTTGTAGTGCCCTGTTGAGTCCATTTTGAAAATGGGTTTTGAAGCTGAAGATGAGGAAGAAGAAAAAGCTGCCATTTCAGCAAAGTTAATTGCGTTAAGTGTCACGTCAACAAAAATTAATAGAGGTAATGGTAGGAACTAAATTAAAAATGAATTAAAAGTTCGATGATTGTATTACAAGTTTCAAAAGTTAGGTGATCAAAATGCAAATACTCTAAAAGTTTAGGGACTATTTTTTTATAGTTTACCCTATTTTTTATTATTGCTTTTGTTCATTTATTATTATTACTATTATTCGTGGTAGGCATGTATTTGGACCAACTGCCAACCTGGCCAGAAATCTCGAAAACACTGCTTATTCGATATTTAATAAATAAATAAATAAATATTAATTATTTGAGTTAATGGCATCATACATCCTCAAAACTATGATCATTGTTCAAATTGGTCTCTACTTTTAATATTCTATTTATCCCCAAACTATTATCCTAGTTCTAAATTAATCCCTACTTTTAAATATTCCAAATTTATCCCCAGACTACTATCTTAATTCTTAATTAATCCCTAAACTTTTGATCATTCAATTTCATCCGAAATTGTTGATATATGTTAATCAAATCGCCTTTAATAAAACCATTAGACCAATCTATATTTATTATATTTTGAAACAAGAAACTTAGATTAAACTATGGTGGAAATTATTTATATATTGGATGAAATTAAGGATAAAATGGAAGATTCAAATTTTGGAGACCAATTTAGAATAAGGGTCATATTTTAAGGATAAAAATGGAATGTTTAAAATTTGGAGGACTAATTTAGAATGAAAGTAATAATTTTAGGATGAAATTAAAACATTCAAAAGTTCAAGAACCAATTTCAAATGAGGATATATTTGAGAACATATGATGTAATTAACTTTAATTAATTTATATATTTTAAACTAAATTCAAATAATTTTTTTCATTATTAGACATAAATATGGTCAAATCGAATTGTGAAACAACTTGTTTAATGTCCTAACGCAGGAAAAATAACTCGATATTTCAAAAAAAAAATTATCACCAACATTAATGTTTATAGATTTGAAAGGAAAAAAAATCAAACTCGCTACCCCAACTCAGATCAGCATGGTATAGTAGCTAAAGTTGATCGAATAGCTCATTCCTCAATTTTAGAAAATAAATATTAAATTTAAAAAAAATCAAACTCGCTACCCCAACTCAGATCAGCATGGTTAGTAGCTAAAGTTGATCGAATAGCTCATTCCTCAATTTTAGAAAATAATATATTAAATTTATTTTATACAAATATTTATTTATTGTCATGACTATATATTTCATACATACATACATACAACATGAAATCTCATCACCAAGAAGAATAATTTCTCAGGAATTGACTAACATCAATGGCCTACAACGTGTGAAGATCTAAGTGCTTCTGATCCTACAGTTTTTAATTGTGGCCTAAATTAGGAGTAAAAGAACCTGGACCATAGTAAGAGAACCCAAGAGATGATCAAAGCGATAGACATTGTACCCTATCAGGTAGATTCTTAGGGATCGGTAATGCGATAACGTATCTTTGGGAGAATTTGTGAGGACTCGCAATTGCATTTGAGGATGAGGGTCTCCCCATCAGCTTGCCCTCGGCCATGGAACATGACGAAGCGATTGATGACTGAAACTTTCTCTAGATCCTGACATTCCAGTCTCAAGTCCAAGATTGAGGCTTTGTCCAGACTGCTTAAATAAAGAGAAAAATTAATCAGACAACAACTAAACTAAACAAAGATGTGTGCGGTCTAGCCTAGACTTGGTAATATTAGACATGGCATAATACACGACGAGAATGCACAGATTACCAGGTTTAGTCTAGACCAAAGCAAATCCTAAAGGCGAACCATATTAAATTCGGAATTGATTGATCCATACGAAGGCCAGCCAATGACTGAATCCTGGAATATACTGAAATTCAAAGAGGGATGGCGCTCGGTTTTGTAATATTCATGTTTATTTTGCACATGAAAACCCTTTTTCCCGAAGCTCACATTAAATAATTGATTGCAACTTAATAGCAGTTTGCATCCTCTAAATAGATAATGACACTTCGACAAGCCCATGAGACATCAAATTAATCAAACTGAATAGGAGGGCTGTGACTGAAATTTTCACCACAAAATGTTGGACTTCAAGATTCAAAATGTACACTGGATAAGATATCATGCATGACGATACTGGTAAAGAAGTTTATGCAAGTTACCTCTGTAAAAAAATTTCTAGCATCTTTGCCCTGAAGATAAACTCTTCTGCAGCCTTTATGATGGATTGATTTCTCTCCTCCTGAAACTTTTCAGAGCGACTAAAGCAGAAAGACAAGAAAAAAATATCATTAGCGAGATAGTATGCTAATAAATATGATATCCAGATGAGAGAGTAAAAACAGAGCTCAAGGATTTCAAAAGTGATTAACCAGTACTTACATGCTTCCACTCCCAGGAGGAACAGCTGTAATACTTTCAGGTATATACGCTGTGCTGCATGCATCTCCTAAAACTGATCTGGAAAAAAATAGGCCAGAGTCTCATAGTTTTTGCTGGCATCTGCGGAAGAACAACTCTTGGAGGAGCACGAAGTGTTTGCTGCATAAGCTGTTGTCAAAACAAGCCTTCTTTTTGATCTAAGCACTGACGGCCACCAATCTTCAACTATTTCAGGTTCATTATCAATCTGCAATTAAGATCAATGTCTGTAAGCTGAGAACTTTCGGAGTTTTAAGAAGGAATAACAAACATTCAGGATAGTTGACATTAAGACACCTTCTCAATCAATCGATTAGCTGCATGAGCCCATGAAGTGAGTGAGAGGAGATAAACCGCTTACTGTTGGCATAATTGAACTTAGCTGGGCTTTACCCAGACTAGTGTCAGCTGCAGCATTAACCTGCTCACTGAATAACATGCAAACTGTCAGAAGACTGACCAATGATGAAAGCTTTTTCCGTAGCATTCATCATGGCAATTTTCCGAGTATCATATATGGGCAACATTTTCCCATTTTTAATTGCTCCATACCGATCAAACCAGGATGGAGCCATCTGGGGACTGATCCGAGAGTGTTCACCACTGACATCAGCAGCTGAATTATTAGAATTGGAGAAATGTTGGGAATCTTTCCGAACAAATGGTAGCGGACTATTAGAAGATAACCGTGTCTCATGGTTATCTCCAGTTTTAGATAAAGAGCTTAGCATTTTAGAATCTCCAGAAGGAACTAAAAGATGACCAACCAGGGCATCTCTCATCATAGAATTGGATCCAGAAGATAGCTGCTCTGCACCATGGGAACTTAACTGCTGACAATCCAATCCAGAGTCTGGAGGTGGACCTTTAAATTTTTAACACCCCTATTACCAGGATCAACCTCTGTATTTTTCATGGCCTGCACCTGATGCAACAAGGAATAGTTCTGATGTACAAAATTATCTGGTCTTAAAGAACGGCCAAAGCTTCAATGTCACTTTGCATACTTGCGGGTTTTGGATGGCATTATTCTCCTGCTTGTTGGTTGTTCTTCTCCAATAAGGCTTTGTGGTTTAACACAGCAGCAGAGAACTCAGAGAGGCCACTGTTTCCTGCCTGAGCAATTTGACAATCTAGCTTCTCTGTTCCAGGAAGATTTGTTTCTGAGTTACTACGGGGATCCGACAAATTCTGTGAGGCTGGAGAAAACTTAGCTCCTAATAATGTTCTGGGGATGAGACACTTGTTAATACATTGGGCATTTTCGTAAAAGCACCTTGCTGAGAAGATTCAGCAGTAGCAGAAGGTGGGAAGCTGGCATAGCCTCCAACACTGGAACCTGGGCCTGGATCCCGTGCATGGTTTTGGTTGCCAGACCTACTACTTGGGAAAGAAGTCTCTGAAGAAGAGAAATCATCGTCTGGAGAAGTTGTGGGTATATGATGTTGCTGATTCATTCCCAATTGAATAGTTTGAGCTCTCTCAGAAGAGCCATCAATCCACTTCAAATGAGATGCCAACCCTCAAAAGGTGCATTGACTGATTCATCGGGTGTTACTTGTCCACTTGCGCCAATAACATGCTGGCTTTGAAGATGTCTTTTTAAATAACGTATCAGAGGTAAAACCAACTGAAACATTTTCCTGAATATTATATTGTGAGCCTTTATTGCTGGCTAGACCAGAACACTTGAAACATTATTCAATATCTTCATGGGATGTTCCATCAGTTGAGGACTGAATAGAAGCCATTGGACCCAACCATGTATGATCCTTCCTACTACCTCAGAAGAGTCATGAACTGAATTTAAAGAATTAACTCCTTGCATTACACAATCCGGAATGGTAAACCTCGAGATGGAGGACCAAGTTTTTAAACCAAAACCCAGAGATGCAGAAGGCTTATTACTCAAACTGTCCCACTGATCCATCAGAAGTTTCTGCAACTGGCATTTCAGATGATTGATTGTGCTCAGAAGAGCTCAAGTGTGTTGCAGTGCCATGCTCTTCGCTCAACTTTTTGAAGAAGTTTCCAACATATTTTCACTGCAAAATCCCAAACTCAGTGCACAAAAGGGGGGGGGGGAAAGAAACAAGCACAAAAGTAATAAGGAAGCAGAAGAGTTGGCAGTACCAAACGGCAACAATAATGATTAACAGATTTTTACTATCATAGCTTAACCATCCAAAAGGCTATTTTTTACATCTAAGTTACATCCAAATAAAAATGACAAAGACAATGTTCAAGTCAAGCTAAAAATTGAGAACGACAAATATTCACCTACCTAACTGGAGCTATCTTGTTCGGCACAAAACCGCCAAAAGGCCTCTCAGGTGCAGAATCAGGATTTGAACTTTTGGAAAGTACCTTGTCTACTTGAATGCCCTGAAAACAACCCCAATATGCAGACAGAGAAAGTTAACAATAGAATGTTTGGTCTTCTGAAGGCTTACCACATAAAAGGAAGCTGGCAATTTCACACTATTTACATATATGTACAAACAAAGAAATAACCTTATCAGTGCCTGTAGACTTTCCAGCAGCATGACAAGTATATTTTGACTGAACAAATATCCTTGGTCGTGAACTTCCGATCCTTCGGAAACATTGGGTATTGCCTGAATATGTGTAACACTCTTAGTTCCATAAGAAGGTTCAACCTTTGTATCCAGATCCCCCATAGGATGATACTGAAATTTACGGGTTATGCAAGGTTTATGGCTAACTTGAATGGATGACTTCTGTTTTCCTCTCAGTGGATCATTTGCATCCAGCCAGACATTGTCCAATGCCACTGGTGGAAGTATGCTGGGATAAGTTAGAGCGAATACTGTCATTAGAATTTTCTTTTACATTAAGATTCTCCATATTGTTACAGGCACTCCCTTGTCCTTGTAATTATTTCCAGATGAACCTAAGGTTTGAGGGCTCTTATCCAGATTTTGCTGATATTCTGCTGGCACCCCAGTTAGTCCAGAGTTACATTAGAATCAACACTTCTCCAGAGAGTAAGATTAGGTTGTGGGGAAGTTGATGGTTACTCTCCTTGGTGGTCCTTTTCGTTGTTGAATCTGTTATTGAAGCAACATTGTCCTGATCAAAACCTTTCCTATTCACCTCTGGGCTTCCCAAGCTGGAATTCACATTCAGTGATTCAATATTAGAATAAGGATCAACAATCAAAAGCAGAACCATGACCTCTCACATACATAGAACCTCTGTGATCATTATTCTGAGAAAGTTGCAATAAGCTTTCATTATCTTGACTTTTTGATATGGCACCACCACCACGTGATGCAGACTGAATTAAGTTCCAGCTGTTTGGCTTATTGTGAGTCTGACCACAAGGATCATATGCAGCTATTCCTTGGGGACTTGAAATGCTGTTTGCACTTACTTGATCAGGACTCTGAGCAATATTCCCCAGGAGTTGAGCACTTTCAGCTGCATGCTTCTGTAGAGGACTCTGATATACCATTTGCTTCGCTCTTCTGTTGACTGTTTAACAAATCTACGAGGAGAATTGTTTTGCATTCTCCTGGTATGTCATTTGCAGTCTGGGCTCCTAATTGCTGAACCCCAGGAACACTAAAAAGTCAAGGTTGTTATTGGCATTAATAGAGATGGGTAAAGGTTTAGAGCTCAGAGTCAAGGCATTGTGCAAATTGTCATCAGTCCAGGGGGATTGCATTTCGCTGCCATCATTGACAATTGACGCTGGATTGCTCCCACTTGGAGGTTCACAATTCTGCAAACCTAAACCACTCCACTCTTCCTCTGCCCTTATATCATTACTGGATGTTTCTGCTACAGCAGACTGCATAAGAGCACTCCAACTTCCACTTTGCAGAGAAGGAAACCCCCCTAAACAGTCTGTACTATCCAACACTGAACCCAGGTTGGTGCTTTTTCCAAAGACATCCCACACGTCATCTGAACCAAACAAAATCTTTTCTTCAGTGGATCCAGCGTAGCCACATTCTGGGAGGAGGAAACCTGACTTGCTGACTTCTCCAGGGATGTTTCTGGAGGACCACAATGCTCTTTAATCTGAAGAGACTCCTGCATCGCTTCATTTTTTGGCTGCATAGCCATTTTCTGCAAGTTTTCTGAATGAAATAGACTATTTAAACCTTGAACAGCCACAGCCTGTCTAGAAACAAAGTTCCATCTTGCGAGCCAACTTGATCTGAAAACATGCATACTGATTACCGGAAATGAATTACTGCCGGTTGGCACCTGCTGCATTAAAGTCTTATCCATTTGGACAGAAGAATATTGATACGGATTTCCTCTCGCACTACCAGTAGAAATTCCATAAAATGATTGATCAACTTGTTGAGGAACCAAACCCATCAAATGCTTGTGGCCTTGGTCAGGGGAAAACATAAGGCCACCAGAGGATCCCTGCATGGCTGGAGAGGCACCATGCTGTAGCCAATTTGCATTTGGTGTCATGTGCTCGGGCTTCCAGGTATAATTTAAAGCATCATGAACAGGAACACCATTGATTGGAACTGGACAAACACCATCTGATAACTGTCTCGCAACAGCGGAAACCTGATTCGTAGAGCTAAACTGCCTTGTTTCTGGTAGGTGAAACTCTGGCTTTAGAAGTTGTTGTCTCATTAATTCTTGCATTATAGCATGTTTCTGTAGCAACTGCATGTCAGTCATTCCTGATTGCTGCCTTGGAAAAGATTGGATAGGATGCTGTCCAATAATTGTTGTTGCGCTCCAAAAAGTCATAATTTTTGGGAGATTCATTAGAGTCCAACCTCAATGGATTCTTTTGATGAAAATCATGGCCATTTCCTATTGGTGAATCGAGAACTGATAGACCTCTAGGTGCTCTATCCACCCCTAATAAGTTTGTTTCCTTCTGCCTTGCCTGGAAAGACTGATGCCCGGAAAGACTGATGCCCTTGATTATAGCCATTTGCAATTGGTGATTGGTTTGTGATTGACTTCTAGCAATTTCAGGCCTCAGACCTGATTTGTGAAGTTCATCCCACGAGGCAGGCTTGAAGACTGACCACTATGTACTCTGTCAGACTCTGCTAATGCCAATGGAAAGTATAATAATGTCAACTAAAGGGTAGTTTAAAAGTACGTAATAGCAATGGACTAAGATCTCGGTACAAAAATTGTTGTACCAGAGCAAGTAGAAACTAAAACAATTGTACCAGAGCAAGTAGAAATTAAAAAAATGTACCAGAGCAAGTAGAAGCTAAAACAATCAAAATGATTCAATTATACCTAATGAACACTTAAATTCTTCAAACTGGAAACAAGAGGCCCACCAACTTGTCTCTGGCCTCCAACCCAGAAACTGTTACTTAAGCCAGGCCAGGTACCATCAATTACCTGTGATTGATGCTGGCCCTGGGAGAAACTCTCTTGGCCAAGGAAATTATGGATCCTGTCTCCAACTTCGTTGCCAGGCATAGGTAATCCAAGCCAAAAATATTTAGCAGCTAAAATATTGGGGAGAAGAAAATTACTACCTGCAAGAAATAAGAATTAATTTAACTACTATTGGTCATCATTTCTATGAAACCAAACCAGAACTATAGAACAAATAATTTTACTTCCATTTGGACTTTCCCTATCCCACATTCCCATACATTCTGACAGTAAATCTACCAAAAGATTTGCTCTGAATTCATCATCAGTGGCAAGATGTTCACAACCTAAAATTTGAAGTTTCTTATTTCTCACTCCAGCATCTAATGGCACTGTTTTTCTTTGTTTTGTTATCAACTTAAGGTGCATCCTCTTTAATCAACATGGGGGAAAAGCTTCATTTAGGTCTAAATCACTAATTCAGATGTATATACGAGAACAAGCTGGAAAAACAAATAGATAAAGATGCAAACATCAGAAAGATAGCAATAAACCATGTAAGCATCAGTCAAGAGAAAAAGAGAAGGCAACTGCCCATTACCAGAAAAAAAAAAGCATCAAAGACTACATAGCAAGCTCAGAACTCCAAATACCACAAAAAGGAAAGGAACGTTCAAGAAGAGAAACCACTATGTGAATGTAGGAAACTAAATTAAAGATGAACACGAATAAATTAGCATAAAAATGTTATAACCTTTCACACAGTAGGAAGAATAGAACTGTCGCAAGTTTTGCTCAATTTAAACTTTGCCACTGTTGAAAATAAAATTTCCCCAGCATCCTCCATTTTTTTTCTAGGCAATCAAACGGACTCTAACACTCAAAACATTACGTAAAAAACTCAAATTTCTAACCAAGACAACAAAAGATCGAAACAACAACAAGCAATTCCCACCTTAACTAAAACAACAGCACAAATAACATAACTGCCCAGCCCTAGAACACCAGAGTCCTAACATAGATTCAGCGTCTCGATATGAACTAGAAAAACAAAGACATTATAGTTACGGGAGAAAGAAAGAGAGCTGGGCTTACGGTGACATAGTGTAGCCTTTGAAATTGAGCTCGAAAAATCGATCTTAAAGAGTGTCAAAAAAAATTAAAAAAAAAGTTAGGGTTTGAAAGCGAAAGAGTTCTTTAGCTGATAAAGAGAAATAAAGTGAATTAATTAGTGCGAAATTTTCAACGATCAGGGGGAGGGAGCGAAATGAGGTCCGGATCCTAAGAGTGCGTTCGGATGGGAGAGTATGAGATTACCGGGGAAAAAGCTTTTTCCAAATGTAATTCTTAAGATTCCCGATCTTCTATATTAAATCATTCTCAACAGTGACATTTTGAGAGTTTATTATTGGGAATATGATTTCCTTCAATTTTAGGTATTATTATATTCTCGAAATTTTAGACTAAAATACCTTTAACATAATTTTTTTTAAAAAAATTATTTTTATTTTGTCGTTAAATAAAAAATTTTACTAAAAAAATTCTACAAAGGTTAAATTACAAATTTATCCTTAAATTATTTTATATTTACAAAAAAAAAATTATAATTATAATTTTATATGAAGTTCAAGGGTTAAAATAAAATTAAATCATTTCATTAAACCTATTTATCTTTTAAATTTTGTAAAAATTATATAAATTTTATTAATTAAATTTTTTTAAAAAAATGTAAATTAAAAATAGTAAAATTATATATCTTCTATGATCTTTTATACAAATATTTCATTTGAATATTTAGAATTCAACTTGTTAAAAACTGATATATAATAAGACAATTTGATAAAATATACATTCTAATAATCTTTTATTCCTTTAATCAAACATTGTAATCTTTACATTCCTCTAAACGAACAAACATAACAATGCAACATTCCCAGTAATGTGTTAGGTAACGTTACATTCGGTTAATCCTATTCCCGGAGATAATGCTACATTTCATGAACCAAACGCACTCTAACTGTTAAACAAATAAACCGAATTAAATCAAATCAACTTAATTAAATGTCTCAATTTTACTGAAAAATTAAGTGGATGTGTAAAATTAAGATAATGTGATATTCTACTCAAAAATCTTGAGTTAAGTGGATGTGTAAAATTCTCAAGTTGGTATCAGAATGATCAAAACTTAACCTTATTTAATTCATACTAATCAAACTATAAGAATTAAAGTTTCTTATAAAGATAAAAAGATAACCCTGAGAAAAAACAATGTGATTTTGTTTTTTTCCTCAATGTGACCCTCTAGCTCGAAAAAAGAAATTAGTGTCTTTGACCAACGGTTTTCGTTATTGATCAAGATTCCGTTAATTCTTACTATACATTAGATAAATTACATCATCCATCACTCAACTGTCTTTTTTATTATTTTGATCACTAAATTCATCGTTCAACTATCTTCTCTGTTCTATTTTGATCACTAATTTTAAAAAAAAATATAAACTTAATTAACTTTTGAATAACCCCCTTCATAATAAACGTGAGGCCTTATTGATTCTTTTTCTCCATGTTCATCAAATTTCATGAGCCTGCTTGATTCCCTACGTAACACAGTCCCTTCAGCAAGCAATTGTATGTTGAACAGTTGGTTTGCACCCAAAAACTCGAAAAGCATTCCCTAATTTGCCTCTTTTGCACAATCAATGAATGAGAATTGTATATGTTGTAACATTTGGATTATACCCATTTTCCAAGGCCTAAGGGATATTAGTGTGAAAGTGAGTAGTTATAACCCATATCTCATTACCAAATATAAAATTTGAGATTTGACAGAGACTCGAAAAGAAACTTGAAGTTGCAGTTGCCACTACAAGCCAAACCAGTTACTAATTCATGGCATCCAACAGAAATGTCTGAAACTTACAGATGATTGAAAGATTTGCTTAAGCTTTAACTTGCCATAAACAAAAACTAGAGAACTTTTAATCTGCACCAAAATAGCATATACATATTCAGGGAAGGTTCATTGGAAGCAAAGCACGAAACCAAACACACTCAAGCAAACATGATCGTCACCTTTCCTTTCTTTGAATTGTCTGAATCGGTTGGTGGAGTCCTCTTGCTCCAGCAATGGAAAATTCTCAAGAGAGGCATCCTTGATGATTGATCAAATACCATTGAAGCATTTTCTCTAGAGTAATAGCTTGCCCGAGCTGAGAAAATATTAAACAGGGGAGCAGAAGGGAAAACACTAACTGCATGCAACGTAGGAGATGGAATGTTAAGTGAATGACAAGATATATTTGCCAATCTGTTGACAGAAGGAATGGATGAGAAAGAGATTTACCCCATTCAACAGCTTTCTGCCATTTCAGGAAAGATATCAACATACTTGGAAGCCAAGAAACACAAGGTGAATACTTTGCTACTGGCAAAACTGCTATCTTTATGCTTCCTAACAATGATTGGTGTCCCGCCGCCGCCACCGCTACGGCTGCCTCCATCAGCGACGAGAGAAGAAACCTTCCCATTTTTTTTTTTTTGATTTGTTACCTATATAGATGAAACTAATGCAATCCATATGAATCAGAATAGGAAATTTTCAGACATCCTTCGTTTCTTTTGTTTTTTCCAGTTGGATGCTGGGTATCTTGAACTTTTATTAGGATTAATTTTTAACTTTTAAGTTTGAGTCGAGCCCCTCAACTTTGCATGATATATGTATATTAATTATTACATATGAAAAATACAAAGAAATATATATGTATATATGGTCATAGAAAACCATTTAAATTGAAATCAATCAGTATCATAATGTTATAAATTTTATACTAATTTAAAAAATTCAAAACAACTAGAATCCACACAAAAAAATCAAATAAAATTTGAATTATAAAATAGGATTGGTTAACTCGATTAATTTGAACAACGCGCCACCTCAACAGCAAGAACAAGTAGCCAACACCCGCAGAATCCCGCGAGGTAAGACTCGAAGCCCTGAAAAAATAGAGGACATTATTTGTAGAATGATGGAGAACCGGGCTTGGACCACCGGCTTACAGAACTCCATCCGTGCTTTAGCCCCTGAATTCGATCATTGATTTATTTATAACGTTCTCCATGGTGCTAAGAATTCCGAGCAAGTTGCTGGATAAGCTTGTTGAGAAGGAGATTGTGCTTAGGCCAGAAAATTCTTCAGAGATAGAAGCTAATGCATATGATCCAATGATGAAGCAGGTTGTTCTGGATCCTAATGCATATACCACCATGGTCATACAGAAAAAGCTCCGTCAATTGATGAAGGGTGTTCTGGATTCTACTGCGTTTAATAATTTGATCGTGGACATGCAAAAGGTAACCAGTCTTGCTTTTGAAGTTCTAAAGATCATGGGTAGGAGAGGGGTGTCTAAAGATGCCGATGCTTACAAATTGATCATCGAAAGCTACTTAAGGAAAGGTGAGCCTGCTGATGCTAAAACACCATTGGACAGTATGATCGAGGATGGACATCTTCCCGAGTCTGGCATATTCAAGTCGGTGATGGAGAGTTTGCCTGAAGATGGAAGGATTCAAACTGCAAGCAGAGTTACGAAGAGTATGGTGGAGAAGTGAGTGAAGGAGCATATGGACTTGGTGTTTAAGATCCTGGAAGCTCTTACCGCCGCTGTCTTGTCAACGGACAACATATTGGCTGCATCTGTAGTTGTTACTTTTGTTGTCCAGTCATCACTAGAACCTGAAAAGGTTTGATTGGTTAACTAGAGAGGATGTTCCAGTGCTTGAAGCTGTAGAGAGCCATGATGGTTTCAGAACATTCGCTTCGAAATTGCAGGCGAGAAACCTAAAGTACATATATTCTTGCTCAACCATCTCAGGATATATTTACCTGAGGTAATTAGATGTAGCTATACTTGTCCAGTCATCACTAGAACCTGAAAAGGTTTGATTGGTTAACTAAGAGGATGTTCCAGTGCTTGAAGCTGTAGAGAGCCATGATGGTTTTCAGAACATTCGCTTCGAAATTGCAGGCGAGAAACCTAAAGTACATATATCTTGCTCAACCATCTCAGGATATATTTACCTGAGGTAATTAGATGTAGCTATACCAATTTCTCTCTTATCTTACACGGGCAGTTTCATTTACAGCACAATGTCTTCCCTCCTAAATGTCTGTTGTTGTATGTTTTACACCTCTTCCAGACTTCGACAAAGTACTTTTTTTGGACGACAATGTTGTGATCCGACGTGATTTGTCTCCACTGGGAGATTGATCTACAAGGGAAGGTTAATGGAGCTATAGAAACTTGTGAAGGTGAGATGATTCGATCTTATTTTATCCTTTCAAACAAGGTCGGATCTTTGACAAACGTTTTCTCATTAACCGATAAATTAAAGGACCATACTAATTATATTTTGAAAAAACTTAAATATTAGTTTGAATATTATTGACCAAAGACTATATAATCATGCTTATTGAACGAGTCGATCGCGAGTTGGGTAGTACTCGATTAGTACTCAATAAAAATTGTTGCTGCTCGACTCGACTTGTTGTTCGCTAAGTTCGTTAAAATTTTGCTCGAACTGTACTCGTTAAGAAAATTTGTTACTCGACTCGTTGCTCATTAATCTCGTTGCTCGTTAAGCTCACCAAGTTTTTATTTTATTTTTTTAACTATAAATAAATCAACTAAAATTATGTAGAACTTAATAAAACATAAATTAATTTAATCATAAAATTATCAAAAGAGTTTATGAAACAAATTCAAATTCTAAACATCAAAATAACAATCTATAAATACGTTAAAATAATAATTAGAGTTTGATTTTTGAGTGTAGTGAAATAATTATTAATTATTAATTTAGTATTTTAATTATTTATTAGAAATCATATATAATTTTTTATATCTATAGTAAATTAGTAATTTTTTGAATGAAATAATTTTTTTAAGATAACTATTGAAAAGTTATAAAAACTTAACGAGTTGTTCTCGAATACGAGTAGAGTTGGACTTTGCTCGACTCAGCTCATTAAGTTCTCGAGTCAAGCTCGAGTTTGAGTCGAGTCAATCAAAGTCGAGCTTTTATTGAATTTTGACTGAGTCGAGTTCGAACTAATTGTTCAACTCATTAAGCACCCCTAAACATAATATATTAAACCAATAACTATAACTATGATTTGACGTGAGTAAAACTTGACTTATTTCTAAAAAGTTGAATTTTTTTATTTCACTCTTAATTTCATATTTTCGATTTCAAAGGGTTTCAAATAAAATTCGAGTTATAAAATAGAAGTCGAATGATTTGAACTTTTTAATAATTAGTTAATTGATTTTTAACATTTAAGTTCGAGTATAATTCTTCAACTTTGTATGATATATGTATATTGCATATAGAAAAAGAACTCAATGTAGCCCTTTGACCAACTGTTTCCGTCATTGACTAACTATTCAATTAATATTGCTGTTATAAATTAGATAAATTACACCATTCATCACTCAAACTATCTTTTCTTTTATTTTGGTCACTAAATTCATCACTCAACTATCTTTTCTCTTCTATTTCGATCACTATATTTAAAAAAATTCAATTTTATCACCCAACTTTTAAATTACTCTTATTTTAATCATCATGAATAAATGTCAGGCCTTGTTGATTCTTTTTTTTCTTCCTGTTCATCAACATTTCATGAGCCTGCTCGATCCCCACGTAACACAGTCCCTTCAGCAAGCAAATGTATGTTTGAACGGTTGGTTTGCACCCAATTCCATCCATCACTTCAAAAACTCGAAAAACATTTGGATTATACTCATTTTCCATCATGTTGTGTAAAACTCGTTGAGCTTCGTCGACGTCGTTTTTCTTGCAGAGCATCTGATGATGATGGAAAATGTGGAACAATCTGGTGCTAAATCAAAACCAGACAATGATGATACATTAGAGAAAAGTTCCATGGCTAGATCCGGCTCGTTTGCTGTAAACAAGGCCATCAACAGGCCATTGAAATCTGATAAGGTCCAATCGCTCGCATCTTTCTCCATCATGCTGAGAATTTCACTCGTGTTATTAAAGGGTATTGATTTGATTTTTTCCAGGAAATTACAGCTCGAATTCCGGAGGTTCCCTCGTCTAGATGCAAGGCCGATGATGCAATACGCTTGGAGTTTGGAAGGCGCGAAAATCATGGTAAAAACCTGAAGCTTGCAACGATGGATTCTTTTGGGATTACTGAAAATGGAAGGATAATGAAACAAAGGAGATTGGATTTTAAATGAACAAGACATGTCAGGGTATAATTTGCAAAGACTGAGGGGAGATATTGAGGATAAAAAATCAGTTAAATGGCAGCCAGCTTGCGAGTGACGACTGGCGAGCGTTGCGATTGCGTCGCAAGGCTTTTGAACTACCGGTGACGTCGATGACCTTGGACTAGCGGAGACGACGGGAGAAATGGGACGGGGAGCGGTGGCGTGAAGAACAAAGAAGAAGAGAAAAGAGGAGATGGGGGCGCCGCACGGGTGATAGAAGGGAGATGGTCCGACCTGATGCAATTTATAGGGACCATTTTGAAATTTCGGGATTTGAGGCGGATGAGTTTTATAGTAGGTAGGTTCGAGGCGTGACGGGATTAGATATAAAATAAAAATTGACTCAACTCGACTCGGTTATATATATATATTAAATATTTTATTTTTATAATGTTGAAATATATTATTTAATTATTAAAAATTATAAAATATATTTTAATAATTTTAAAAAATAATAAATGATTATAAATATATTATAAAACAATTATTTTAATTATTTTAAAGTATTGATATATTCGAGTCGAGTGAGATCAAAATCGGGATTTTAGTTTAAAAATCGAAAAGGGTTAGGGCGGAAAAAAACTAAGAATTATTGGGGCGAGGTCGAGTATAAACAATACATTTTCGGGTTGGAGTCGAGGCTACCAAAAACCCAGCATGTCCTTCCCCGTGCACATCCCTAGTTTTGTGTTTAAAATAAAGTGGTTTAACTACAATCTTAGTCTCTAAAGTCTCAGGATTTTCAAAATTAAAATTTTTAAGAGTTCAATGACCAAAATAAAAGAGAAAATAATTGAGTGATGAATAATATAATTTACCTAATTTATTACAACAACAATAAACAGTACGGTTGATTAATGACGAAATACGTAATGAAAAGACTACATTAGATATATATTTTAAGTTATCACTCAAAAAAATTAGATGGAAGATCACATTAATTTTTTAAAAAACACAATAGCTTCACGTGTCTTCCTGTCTAAAAAATAACACACAATCTAGAGTTTAATGTGTAATGAGTGTTGTTTACTAAAACAATTAGTTAAACTTAAAGGGGGCACGTGTCAATTGAGGAGAACATGCACTTATTAAAAAAAATGACGCAGGTACCACACATCGAAGGTCTGGACCTACCGGGCCAGCCGGGTATGGACTCTGGACCGAATAAATGTATTAACAAAAAACAATTTTCAAATTTCAGCATCGTTCTCTTTGGCATTGCTTGTTATTGTTGTTCCCATTCCTGCTTCGTACGCAACGCATCCCGTTATTCCCTTTTGCGTCTTCGCTCTCTCACTCTCTCCTTTATTTGAGAGCTCACACTCACGGATCTATCTCTCGCGCGCTTGCTCTCTCTCTTTTAAGGTCAAATCACACACGAATCAGGTACTTTTGATATTGCTTTCCCCACATATATTTTATTCCAGTCGATCTCTGATTGATCGTTACAGGCTTATTGCTGCTGTATTCGATTGATCTGCTAGCCGTCTGTAAGATCGTGCCTGTTTTTTTTATTCGGTTGTTGAATCTGCTTCGTGCTTTACATGTCTGTAAAGGTTTTTTTTGAGCTATCTGTTTGATCACTAGTTGTTTTTAGATGGAAAATAGTATGTATACGCCTTCTATTTTCTAAGAAAAAGAATTTGTTTTGATCGCTAGTTTTTTTAATAGAGGTTACAGTAATGGCTGAGAACTTGTGCTGAGGACTATTTTAATTATAAATGTTTACACAAAGATTGTCGGATTGTTATTAGATTTTTTGTTAGGCAATGTCGGGCTTTTGTTGAGCCCCCATTCTTATATTTAGTATAATTTCTAAATATTACTTGCAATGAGTATTTTGTTTCTTGTTTCTTTCTGCTGTCATCATTTCAATCGATCCTTAGTTGAAACTTGTTTATTGATTCCTTGAAAATCATGCAGATGGCCATGCAGGAAGGAAGTCCTGCGGATATTCATATTCCCAGTGCTCAAGTTGTTGGAAATGCTTTTGTGGAACAGTATTACCATATTCTTCACCAATCACCGGATCTGGTGCAGATTTTATCGAGATTCAAGTCGTTTAAGTTGGCCTGATATATATGGCAACATGACTACAGTAACAACAATACAAGTATGTTAGTTGATAATTTCCTACATGAGCTTATTGTTATCGAGAATTCGATACTGTACGACCTCCGTGCAGAAGATGACTAGTTTCTAGACTAAGCTGATAACTAGTTTCTGATAATAATTGCTGAAAAATTGCAATAAATTTTATTGAAGAATTTCTTTAAAAAGTATGGATGTTTATGCCTTTTAGGTGAA